GGCTCCCCACATATCTGAAAAAGGACTTTTTATTGTCCTTGATGCTCAAAGCTATTTGGAGTTCAGTTGCAGCCTTGGCTTTCCTGGTTTGCTCCCTGCAGGACTGGACCAGTGCAGAATAATCCTCCTTGGAGGTGAATCCCATCCTCCATCCTTTGTAGGCCTTTCTTTCTAGCCTCAGGAGGTCTGCTAGGTCCCTGGAGAGCCAGGGGGGCTGCTGGGCCCTCTTGCTGCCTTTCCTCCGAGATGGAATAGACTTAGCTTGTGCATTGTCACCTGCTAGCAGCTGTGTAAACCAGCAGCAAAGCAGTTAAAGATGCAAATCATGTTTAAAAGGCATAATAACTTGTTCCTTGTCCTGAGCACATCACACCGAATATTCTTATTAGTAGGGAAATATTGCCCTGACGATGCTCTGTCTGGATCACGGCCAGCTTCATTAGCCTTCATCACTTTCACAGGCACCAGGAATTCACACACAAACATGTCTCCAATTAAAAATATGAGTATGTGCGAGAATCAGGAATTTTATGGCCCAATAGTGAAGAGATATTAACCCCATTTGAAAGAAAAATGTGTTATTTTTTTAAGGATCCCTTATGAGTGAAACTATATTAAAGTGTAGCTTCTAAGACAAAACCACAAGACAGATTCAAATACCCTCTGTTCCACGTAATAATAATTTATGATTTACTTTTGCAATAACTGAAGCCATAAGGAACTCATTGGATTAAGAAGCCTTATTATTTATGTTGGGGAACAATAATATTTAACTGTATAAAGGCACACATCCACCCATACAGGCTTTCTCCCCATGTGAAACGGATTGCACGTTATGGGAATTTTGCCATTAACTTCAATAAGGCCGAGATTTCACCCTGTAGGCTCGGTTCAAGGTTGTTTAAAAGGCTGAATGTTGTCACAACAGCAAAATGATAGAAAAAGACAAAGACAGGCGTCATAGATAGAGATAAATATAGAAACAGATGTCCCAAAGGCCTTCCCATAATACACCCTACGATCAGGAATATACATCAGCAATCAATCATGTGTTACAAAGCTCAAAGAGGCTAGCTGGCATTTTCAAAGAGTATTAAGCTCCTTTAGGCTTCAGCTCTCAGACAACAGCACCCATAGGTGCACGTGGAAACCCTGCTTCAATAGTTATTCCACTACCAACATAGCGGACAAGCCCCCTGATTTCAGCCTCGAACAGGTGGCAACAGACAGAAGAGCATCTCTTATACAGGGTGAGGAACACAAAAGCGTTCGAACCACCCCCCCCCCCCCTTCCCACTCCTCTTTAGGCACCAGACTCGAGTTCAAATCCAACCGCTTCCATGGATTTCCCGGCCGACCTTCAACAAGCTACTCAGTGTCTCTGTGCTTCAGGTCTCCATCTCTGAATTGAGGTTATAATCCTGCCTTTCTCCCTTCCCAGTGCATCTCGACTGTCTTTTAACTGTCCACAGTCTAACACAATGGTGCTCATCCTTTTGGCCCCACAGGCCAGGTGAGCAGCATGGGGCTGATCCACGAGCCGGATCAGACCGTTCAAGCCAGGATTTCCCTTGCATGCCAGAATTGGGCCCACACAACCTCTGCACAGCCCCATGTGATGGGATTGGGGTCCCATGCTGCCTCTGCTTGGTCTTGCACTACCCCATGCATGCATGGGACCTGTGGATGGGGGGTTGAGCACACCTAATCTGACAGATTAGAGACCACAAACACGACCGCTATTTGCTACAATACAACTAATGGGGCTTTTCCTCTTTCTTGTCACCCAATGGATCCCACTATGTCATACTTCACTGATGGAGCGTCTAGTCTAGCATGTCCTGTCCCAAGCATGTTTTGGGTACCAGCTCTTTGGTAGAAGAAAACTATGTTTGTGAACTCTACGGTGCCACGTGTCTTGTTGGCATTAAAAAGTGTGCATGGGGTGCACAGAATTACACCCTGCTGAAGGCTTTCTTTATGGATTATCCCCTGACCTGCAATCTTCCAATTATGGGGGGCAGCTATCACCAGTGGAAAACAGGGATAGATCCCAGGAAACTACTTCCCTTTCCTCAGCAAATCCCTAGGCAGACAATCAGAGGAATTACATACAACTCTTTTGCATTTACAGTAACATTTAGCATTATTTGAAAGAATGATCAGTGCCTTGGCCCCTTCATCATCCCCTATGGAGCAACTCATAAATTGAGCTCTATTAGAATGGATGGCTCCCAGCTCTCTATATGGGGGGAAAAAAAACAGATTATTGTAACAGCACAAATAAAAACCTGCTTGGCAAGTACCTGAAAACAGCCCTTAGAGCCCTGCTGTCATATTTTATCATACTTGGCTAAAAGTGAATTGCAACTTTTTTTTTTTTAATTTCAATTTCCATTTTGCAAGTCCACTTACTCAGCCAGCTCCTCCAAGCTCCGGTAGACATCATCGTCATTCTCTGTGGTCTCCTCGGAAGGGAAGGGTCTGGAGAAGGAGGAGAAAGAACAGAGTTACTGGTGATGTTGACATCTTCTAGATGCTGCCCTTATTTATCATGGCCCATCTGAGGTCACATCTGTGCTCGGATCTGCCGAAGACAACTTGCTTCAGAACATAAATATTAGTCAGAATGACACGTATTCCTATTACCCAACTCCAGCCCCAGAAGTATTGTTAGCTTCTGATGATAATTTTGCTCAGACTCTGCTTGTATCCCTGCTGGGCCAGGCTTCTCTTGGTCCATTATTTGGTACCATGTAAACCAGTGCAGCCTGTTCCACAGTCGGGTTGTTGGCAACTAAACCAGCAACCCCAACTGGGCTGGCCTGGGTGAGGAGGGTGTGTGGACACCCAGCAGGACTAACAAGACCTGTCAAAGGGTGGATGAGCTCCCTCCGAGCTCATGGCCATCCGTACCTGGAGAGGAGATGGGTCCCGCCAGGTCACTTTGCCCGAAGAATCACCAATAATGTATAGTCCCAATGGTCATAGCAGCCTTGGGACTGACTTGTCTCTGCTTCCAGAGTCAAGAGGACCAGGACTTCCAAGTGGTAAAAAACGAGGACACATTACCATGAGCTTTTGAGGAAGCATGTTAACTAACACAGCATCGAACCTGACCTTGCAATCAGGGTAGCAGAAAGGACAAGCAGGAGTTAACAATATCCAGCTGATTGCGGCACAGATTGTGGTTCCCACAGAGTTCCCCAAGATGTGCTGTTAGATTTTGCCCCCGCCTATGCTCCCTGTAGGCTCCCGTGCAATATGGTGCTACAGATCTTATAGCAAGAAATTAGCCCAGTGAAAACGGCTTCCAGCTGCAGTGAACAGAAAAGTCTTCAAATACGGCCCTTGCAGAAAACAGCCTTCCTCACTTCAACTAGCAACATCCAATATCTGTCTAAAAGGTTTAAAACCCCTGAGGGTGGGGAAATGAACACCCCAGAAAACCTCCCCGCAAAGCAGACTAACAAAGCAAAGAATTTGTTGGCTCCTTCTGAAGCAATAATCAAATAATACATGAAGGAGATGACAAAATACTGCTTTAATTAAATGTGACGTGTTATTGCTGGCACGTGGCCTCAGCGGGCTGACACCCTGGTAGGTACAAGATGCTTCCAGTTGTTAAGGACCCCAGAGCAGAGGGGTCTTTGAGGGTCAGGCTGACTTCTCTCCAGATGCCCTGGGTGGTGATCACAGATCTGTGCTCAGAAGAGCCACCTGGATGCATGAAAATAAGTTAAAACAAATAAAAGCAGAGAGCTCTCAGAGCCTTCATCCGTGTGTGGCATCGCTGCCAACAGGAAATCCAGCAAAGCAAGTACAGGGAGCAAGAGGAACAAGTCAGGGACGCCCAAAGGAGCTGTGAACCGAGTGGGCAAGTGGTAATGAGCTCCCTGATCCGACTGTCCCATATGGCAGGGAATGGTGATACTGGATCTGATAAGTTCAGTTACGGGTGAGCAAAATTGGATGCATGTGAACTTTTAACTGCACCCAAGTGTAATTTCCTCCTTCCCCAGTTCCATGAAAGATTGATTTGTCTCAAAGATTTAATGCATGGCCCAGTTAGTCCCGGGTTTTGCTATTCTTGGATCAGATCTCTAACAATAACTTGCCTTCCCCTTTTGCTTTATTCCTGTCTTCCCCTGGTGACTGCTTTAGACCGAACAAAGTGGTTCTTAACGGGGCTCCAATCTACAGTTAGTTTGGTTGCAATTAACCCAGCGAGAAGGCAATGAACCAAAAAAACAGAGTGGGGAAGCAGTGCCGCACCAAGCCGTGCTGTAAGACGGCCTCAGACTAGGTACAGGACAGCGTGAGCGACGTGTCCGCATTCACAGCGCAAACACGCAGGAGCTCCCAAGCATCAGCCAGGGCACCAACAATGCCCCGAGAGCCTGTAACGCAGCAAAAAGCATGGCAGGGTAAGGAAAGATCAGGGACTAGTATCCTCAGTTTTATTACAAACCATTTGATACTCAATGACGGTCTGTAAAACCTCCAGTTGCTGGAAGGGAGAAACTGCATAAGAAATTCAGCTTTAATTTAAAATTGAAAAAAAAAAGAAGTTCCAACTCTTAGGGCTGCAGAGAAAAACTTGAAAATATGAAATAAGTGCACCTTGATGGGCCACAAACCAAAAGGCAAAGAGATTCCCTGCCCTGTTCCCAGGTATGTACTATTAATCTTGTGGTTTTTAAGCCCGTTGGATGATTTGGAAGCGATTTCATTAGTTCTGAAGGCTGGAGACTGGTGATACCAAGCGCCTGTGGTTTTAATTTTATCAATCCGGTTTTTGCGTGCGTGTCTGCATCTCCTTTCTCCAGCCAGCACCCCCGGGAGTAGTGACTAATACAAAGGCCATGTGAGCCTCAGACCAGCGGAGTCTATGCAACTCGGCAACTACTGCATCATAAAAATTGGCCTCAGATCCTACTGGAGGGAGGGGAGAGAGAGAAGGATAAAGAAACAGGGCACAACATCGCAATGATGAAGCGACTCCAAAGAGGGGAAAAGGCCTCTCCCTTTCATACGAGGAGCACAAAATTAAGACGTTTCTGGGGCAAAGCACAAGCACAAGGTCTATGTAAGCAGTTAGGACCCTCTCTCCTTCTCAGTGGACTGAAGGAGCATTGTAATAATGCTAACATCATTATTAGCATTAATATTAGCATGAATATAGAAACAGGGAGGAAGATCACCCTAGAGAATATCACACTTGACACTCATCTTTGGCTCTTCATCTCCCAAAAAATTCACTTACTCCTCTACTGGTCTCCCAGCCAGAAAGCAAGGTGGCAAAACAGTAATAAGGAATATTCAAGTTACAAGCCATATATTTAATCAGTTCCTGTGACATGGGATGCTGGGGCGGGGAGGAAGTAAGGAAACAGCCAAGAGAGAAAAAGAATAACTTCTGTTCTTTTTTTAATGAGAGGTCTTGGAGTTGGCCAGCTCTTTCACCTTGACGGAGGGGGAAAGCAGTGCAAATGAGATCAGGACAGGGCTTTGCAAACTGTATCTCTGCAACACCAGCTGCCACAAGGATGAAATGTGGAAGTACGGAATGGGATTAAAGGAAAAACACAACGAGGAAGAGATTATCAGATAAACCTTTAGCAGCTGGAGAGAAAAGATTTCTCTGTGTAAGGCGCTAGACTGGACTCAGGTGATCTCAGGTTGGCTCCTAGCTCTGTTAGACTCCCTGGGTAAGCTCTAGTTAATCATCGAGGAACCAAACCTACAACACACAAGCAGACGGCTGCATCCTATCCAGGGATACCCTCGCTTAGTTATTAAGAGGGGCTCTCTTCCAGTGCAAGCCAAAGCAAGATACTTTCCCTCTACGCCTCAAACTCACCTGGAAAATGCAAAGTTGTGTAGAACTCACTAGGGCAGTAACAGAAGCCTTAGCAACACCTAAGCGAAATCAAGTGTAGATTATATGGCTTCAATCCTAGCAAATAACTTGGATGCGTTTGCTGAACATAACTCAAGGACATTACCCTTGCTAACAAGGATGGGCAGCTTCACGGCAACCTGACATTTGGAGGCAGAAACCATGTGAACTACATGTATGAGCACGGTGTAGGCCGTTCTTTCAGTACTTTGTGGCTTTCATTGCCTTTCATTAGATCACCTTCCAGGGGCCGTCATCAGGCTCTTGTCCACAAGGACTCCCATCTTGTCTCAGCTCTAGGATACAAACTTTTCCACTTGAGCTAGCTGAAGTAACAGATTTTATGTCTTTGGGGGGAAAAAAAGCCATTCTCTCATTTTTGTCCCATGGTACAGAGGCCAGCGTGACTACAAGAAAACCCACTAAGCGAACTTTTAACCTGAAGTTTCCTGACTAGCACTTTTTTTTGTTTATATCGAGGTTGGAGGCGCATGCAGGCAGCTTAATAATTCATTGCAAGTCTATACTGGAGCTGCAGAAGGTTATCGTTGCGATCACTGTGAACTGATTACAGAAATGGCATTGAGTCAGAGTCAGGCTGGACATTTTGTGGAGATCATACATGATCAGTAGGGGTGTGTGAAGCGGGTCCTATTCTATTTGGATTCGGCCCCAATCAGGGACAGTGATTCAATTCATTGATTTGGATCACTGTGCCCGATTCGATTTGGCCGAATCTGAATCTGAAGATTTGATGCCGATTCAGTGAATCAACAATTCGGCCATAGACACAGCTTTCAATGTCTGATCAGTGCTGATGGGCTTGTAAGTATGCCATCATTTACCTTTCCTTGCCTTGCTTTCAAATGGGACTAACAACTGATGACCCTAAAAACTAGGGGCAGAGCCCTTCAAATTTCCCAGTACATGGTGACCAGGCAGCAAATAGCAAATGCCCCCTAGAAAGGTCTCACCTGCGTTTTTCAAAATGGCCAAAGAAAACTGGGAATCTTAATCCCCAAACAATTCAGTAGGACGCAAGCATGGCTCAGAGTCCTGACATAGATCATTTAAAAGCTCTTCAGGGGATTTTAACTTTTCTAAAACACAGACCTTGGAAGGGAGGTCCTAACGTACCTTTTTCCAAACCTACAGGGTTTCAATGTGTAGGTAGCACAACAAGGTCAGAGAATAAACACAGGTCTCCCCGGGTTTCAAAACACGGCATCAGGATTGTTATTCGCATCCTGTGGAAGTGAAAATGGAAGCGGGAGCAGTGCGATGGCATCCCAACTGTGCATTAAGCAATATGGATTGTAGCCGTCTCTCCTTCCCCACTTCCCAAGCCCCCCTTGTGCCTGCGCAAGGGCAGGGGGCAAAATTTGTGAGCAGTGGGAATGTTTTACTTGGGTAGCATTTGGGCTTCCGAAATGTCATTGTACCTGTCTGCACTGCTCTGCGTTTTATGTTTGAGAAGCCTCTCAAAGGAGAGTGCCTGATCCTTGGAGCAGGCTACTATGACATTTGCAATGGTCCTGGTGCCCGGTGGGAATCTGTTCCGTAGTCTAAGGTTGTTCCCTAC